TCCACTCTGCCCACCGGCACGGTCCCTATACCTGAGGAGAAAGACATGGCATCTCTGAATACGCATGTTCTGTACACACAGTGATGTAGTAGCTTTCTGAACTCGAAATATAACTACAAGCTGATCTTAAAAATACCATCACCCCATAAAATGTGCATGATTTGAGTGGGTTAATCTCACCTCCAATCTTGTAGACATCTTGTAGGGGCAGACGTAAGGGTTTGTCAGTGGGGCGTGTTGGAGGCATGATGGTATCGAGAGCTTCCAGTAGAGTAACGCCACTGGCATGCTGCTCCTTCCTGTTCAGCTTCCAGCCTTTAAACCACGGCATCTGCACAGCACAAATGAGATGATTTTATTAATCAAATCACTAGCATTCTGCCAGTTTAATTGGAAACTGCCAAACGGTATGAGGTCATTGCTGAACTGAACACAAACACACACATGCCATGAAGACTCACATTAGAAGACGGTTCTAGCATGTTGTCACCATGCCAACCTGAAATTGGGACGAAGGGCACCGAGGCAGGGCTATAACCAATCTTTTTGATGTAGGCGCTCACTTCTTTAACAATCTCATCATAGCGTTTCTCGCTGTAGGATGGCTCCGTAGAGTCCATCTTGTTGACGGCTACAATCAGCTGCTTGACGCCCAGCGTGTAGGCCAGCAGGGCGTGCTCCCTTGTTTGCCCATTTTTAGAGATGCCCGCCTCAAATTCACCCACTCCAGCTGCCACAATTAGAACAGCACAATCCGCCTGGGAGAGAAAGAATGTGAGCCACATTGTTTAAAGGTAAAGATACTAAAATTCATCTACAGGCATTAGGGATCCTCTCACCAAGCATCGATATACCACCAGTTCTCGTAAATAGTTGTAACTGAGCTAGTACTGTCTTACCTGAGACGTCCCAGTGATCATGTTCTTGATGAAGTCTCTGTGTCCTGGAGCATCTATTATAGTTATGTAGTACTTGGTGGTCTCAAACTTCCAGAGTGAAATGTCTATGGTAATTCCTCTCTCCCTCTCGGCCTTCAGCTTGTCCAGAACCCAGGCGTACTTAAAGGAACCTTTTCCCATCTGCCAAAACAAAAGTATGTGAGCATACAGGGGGGAAAATGCCTTCACTGAGGAAAAAATAAGTTGTGTGGACACACGAAAGCAATCATCTTAAAAGATTATGACAGTACATGTATTATTTGAGCAGAAACCAACACCTATATTGCAATGACTTTTCAAACATTGATATTTTGCTTGGATTGTATAGTGGTGTTCCAGAGGTAGAATTCTGAATATGATTATAAAGCCACTTTTTACCAAGGGTAATGAATCTCTGCTTTAGTAGGATTAACTCTGCATTGCAGTGCCAAATGTTTAAAGTGCAAATACAGTGTTAAAAAAAACTTGTCAACCCTGACCTCGGAATTTAGAAGGTTTTAGGTTCAAATCATGCAAGGGTTCATACATTATGCCTCAACATTTTGCCCTTGAGCTTGGCACTTGCTCCAGAGAACTATCCCTTCAATAAATCAAGTAACAATTTTCACAATGGAAGGTTGTAGGTTTAAATCCTGTAAGGGATACATTATGCCTCAATATTGTGCCGTTGAGTTAAATCACTTACCCCAGCTGACTGTCTTTGTAATAAATCTCTTAACAATCTTCACAATTGCAAGGTTGTAGGTTCAAGTCCAATACCTTGTTGTTTTATCCTTAATCAAACACACCTGCCTGTCATTTTCTAGCAATCCTGAAGATTTTTCTGGTTTGTTTAATTAGGATTGGAACCAAACTCTGCGGGACAATGGCTGTCCAAGACCGGAGTTGCCCATCCCTGTTGTAGGTAAAAACCTCTGCTGATAGCAATAATATTCAGTCAAGCTTACTAATGTACCTAATCTTTAGTAGACATATAACAAAAATCCAACAGGCTTCTTTGTGCACACACAGTGTTTTACTACCTACATCTTGCTGCTTGAAGAACAAGTTACCCTCAAAGACAGAGGTGAGGTGTCAGACCCACTGGGATTGCACCCATTTACTCAGGTCTCATTCTCTCAGTCTAATGTGCATCAAGACGACAAAAGTGCAGGGCCTGACTAATGGTTCTGCTTGCTCCAGAAATCCATTCATCTTTTCCTTTCATCTCCACTGGCATATTCCAAAGAGTAAATGTCTCAATGTAATTACACAGCAATTCTCCCTCTGCTCTGCAGTGCACGAGAGGAGAGGAAGGTATAGTGTGATGCATGATGAGACACTTACCTAATTACCCTATACAGTAAGTGGGTTGGAGTTACCCATCATTCAGCACAGACCACAATTCTCACAACGCATTAGGGATTTGGCTAAGCCGATGAGGTCACTTAAATTTAAATGGAAGGTGCAACTGTACTCCTTTATTACGAATCTGGCTTCAAACTCAGCAATTCGACTCCACTTGAACACCAAAGCTAAATTCCTATGATTTTTTTTTTTTTTTGAGATCCTGTTCACCTACCTCAGCAGCCTCTTTTTCAAACTTCTCAATGGTTCTTTTATCAATTCCTCCACATTTATAGATGAGATGGCCAGTGGTGGTGGATTTCCCCGAATCAACATGGCCAATGACCACAATGTTGATGTGGATCTTCTCTTTCCCCATGATGGCACAGGGCAGGAAGACAGGATGGGAATGGATGGAGCTTTCTTCTGTCTACAGCTGACAATTTCAAATTATAATTACAAAAACATTATTATGATTAAAAATCATGCAAATAAATGTTCAAAACTAATTTCTTACAAGTTTACATATCCCTTGCAGGATCTGTAAGATAACTATGACTTTCTTCTTTTTTTCTTTTCTTTTTATTTAGCACTACCCTGACAAAGATGCATAACATATTTGAATACATCCCACAAGACAAAATTATAAACTACACAAATCATCCTGTCAAACAGAACCCCTTGACATACCCTTGGCTTTTTAGAAATATATTAGACTCAAATGTGCAGAATATGCAAAGAACTTACAGGACCTGGAGGCTTTTTGTCAAAAACAGTGGGTAGCTTCACTGTTCGGGACAAACCAGGGGCTCATGCACAACTATCACAAAAGCTTACGAACAGTATTTGATGCAGGAGGAAAAAAACAGATTAAATTAAGATAGAAGGGCATTTAAAATTTTGAACAGGATGTGTAAATTCTGCTATTAATTTATATATTAAATAAGTAATATTTTGTTGAATAGCTTCATCAGGGCAGTACTAAATAAAAACACAATAAATAAATAAAAAGCGTTTGACCGTTATGAGTATAGTTAAAGTCTAACAGCAGGAGGATGATTGTGGCCTCTTACCTGCAGCTGACAGCCGGACCCTGTTCTCCCCTCAGCAAACAGACACTCTGTGCTTCTGTAAAGGTGGCAGCACAGTCCAAGTCTGTGTGCGTAATGAACTCACCCCACTTTGATACAGCAATGCGGCACTCAAAGTGGGGGGAGGCTGGTGGCGAGGGACTGCAGTGAGACGAGCTGAGAGGAAGAGTACGAGAGATGGAAGAGGAACACACTGGAATAGAGCAGCGTTCAGTGACTCAGCATCTTATCCTCAATTAACTCCTGCTGGATAAAAACTGGTTCCCTGTGTGGGTCTGAAATATGACACCTACAGGTTCCCAACATACATTTTTTTTTTATTATTATTGAGAATGTTTATTACCAGGTTATTCTAGAGGTAACTATTTCCATGTCTTTAGTTAGATGCAATTTTAGTATTTTAGTACATCTGAAATTGTATACATATATTATAGGGGTCTGATCAGTTGTTTGGTCTGTTCTTTGAAAAATCATCAATAAATTATATTTTGACCCCCATTCTTCTGCTAATTTCATACAGATACTTTTATTTAATGTTGATTTTGCAGAACATATCAGAAAAACTTTGTGATTTGGTCTCCGATCTCTCTCTGACTTAATTTTTTTGCCACTTACACAGGCCAAAACACTTCTTTTAGTAGTTGTAATATCTACAAAAAGCGCTAGTAATGCCTTTGTATGAGCAAGGAAAACTGTTGCTTGCTACCCAACTAAAGATTCTTAAAACGATCTCATTCTGTATTAACAACACACTCTCACAAATAAAGGTACTTTTTAAAAAAAAACATTTTACACTGCATAGGGATCTCAAGTTGACTTAAGTTCCTTGGGGAAAAAAAAGTTCTTAATTTGAAGATCTACAGTATAATGTGTGTGTATATACAACATTAGAATTACCAGAGGGCCTGAAGACTTTTTAAAGTTTTTTATGCTCACCAAGGCTATTTTAATTATTTTAATATATTTTAAAAAGTCATTTATTCCTGTTACGGAAAAGCCAAATTTTCATCAGCCATTACTCCAGTCTTTAAAAAATATCTGACCAGAGTCTTTTGAACAGTACAGTAAGTATCATTTGCCGACAGAGGAAAAGAAGTGCCAATGTTCTTTGATGCACTGCTAGATATTTGGTTTCTAAAGTGGCAAAAAAAAAAATTCTCCTGTGGCATCCTAGGAAGTTAAACCTTTTTAAATCCCTTTTTGGATCTTTTATGTTTACCAGAATAGAGCAGGGAATGATCAAAGGGAGGCTAACATATTAAATATTGTGCATTGCCAGATTAGGAATTAAGAAGTCAAATCAGACCAACATGGCTCACTATCATTTTTTTTAATCAGGGACATACTCCTGATGTGTTTAACACATATTCGGTCAAAAAATTTCAAACAAGCATGACTCAGAAACAGTGCTAATACCATCACTATTTCATAAGCATTTGATCAATGACCATCTAATTGGCTAATACAATCAAGTTATTTCATACAGTTAATAACATGTCTAGCTCAGTTTATTTGCAGTGTAAGTCCTAATAAATCACACAACAAACTAGTTGATGCTCTGGTCCGTCTCAAGAACTCTGACAAAAATAAAATAAAGCTACCACTTAAAATTCCCACAAATTAAAAAAAAAAAAAAAAAATTCTGTTTCCAAACTCAGCAGAGGAAAGCTTTTTAGTTTATCATACTTTCCCCATCAGTCTAGTCTGATCTTACACAACCACCAGACTTTCCTTTGTCTACATTTCCACCGTCTGTCTGTGAAGAGCTCAGAACGCTTAAAAGCGCAGGAACGTCTCTCGCAGTGAACCTCTGGACTGCAGATAACGCACACGAACATCACATCCCCTGCACGCCATGTCATTTCACTTTTACATTGGCTCTAGCGCGACCAATATTAGCTACACCTTTCTCAGTCAGTTCTTTTTTAATGTCTGATGTCCCAAGTCGTCCTGCTGCAAGCTGCGGCTACGTCCTGCGGCGCTTGGCTCCTCCGGGGCTGGAGGGGTTGCTGGAGTTCATCACCTTCTCCACAGCTCGGCTCCTCTTCCTCTTTTCCCCGGCTGATTCTTTCGGCCCGCTGCCCGTCTCACCTGAGCCCCCCCTCTCTGCCCGCTCTTTCTCTTTCTCGCGCCCGCTGCCCGACCTCTCCGACATCTTCACGGAGGAATTGCTGCCTGACGAAGGGAAAAGGGAAGGGGGAAATGGGGAAAAAAGGGTGGGATTATGGGAACACAAAGAACAAAACAGATTAAAACCACTATAAAAAAAAAACGTATTTCTATCATAATTAAAAAGTGGTGTGTAATTTCTGCACTAAATGAAGCCAGACATTAGCTTAACCAATTGTCAAAGTTAGTGGCGGAATGACCTTTTTGTCCAAAACAATGGTAGATAGAGAAGAAAAATTGAGCAGAAAAAAGCATTAACTTTGCAATTCAGTTTGGTGATGTTAGTGGCACAGAAACTACACACTTCACCTGTAACTGCATGTCTATAATATTGCCATTTATAGTTAACTTTTTTTTCTAAAACTTATCGTCTTAATTAGTGCTGAGAGAAAGGTCAACCACATTTACATAACCAGCTTTACATAACGTGTTTTGACATGACAGCATAATTTGCCTTCTTAAAGGGGTCATATGATGCGATTTCAATTTTTCCTTTTACCTATTGGTCTTTATAGTTCTTTTGCACTTTAATCTGTGTAAAACTTTTAACTTTTACATTTTTCTGTATTGCTTTATTGCATTTAAATGTTCAGTTATATTTGTCATAAGAAAAAAGTTATTAAACCCGTTATACTGTATTATGACAGCACTTTTTTAAACTAAATTTCAATATCGTGATAATACCGTATACCGTGATAAAAGCATTAGCAATTAATCGCAACATGAAAATTTGATACCGGCATATCCCTAAAGCTCGCCATTGTCTAAAGCAAATATCTATGTCATACACATGACCACCACTTAAAATTTAACTGTTTAAGCTTTTGTTCACAAGTAGTTCACCAATAATCCAAAATCTATCTATTAAGTTTAAGTAGCAGGTACTAGACTGGCGCTCTGTTCCAAACCCCACATTTTAGCCAAATATTAAGACAGCATTGTGGAAAAGAAATCCCAGAATACACTGCAATGAGCAGTGCAAAGTCCTAGATAGGCAAAGCAAGAGAAATGGTAACGGTTTTAATTTCCATTCAGCATTTTAACCTATATTTGTGTACCCTGTTTATTTTTGAGTTCACGTCATGTTGTAATTACCATTAATTACTAGATGGCAACCCATGCTATATCTTCTCGGAGCTGTTCACGTCCTTGAACTTGAATCTTGGCAATACTATTAATGGCAAAATGAATCTGTGTAATTTGAGTAATCAATAGACAAAACCACAATACCTTATTCCTATTTGCGTGTTTTCATATGATGTTGAGCAGGTTGTACAAATTTGAGCTCTCAGAAAATTCCAAGTTTACAAGTTGTTGAGGACATTTTTACAAGTCATAATCTCGTAATTTCGATAATTCCAACATGATATGAACACACCTTATGCTTATTAGCTTATTATGTTGTTAGCAAAACGCTAATACAACATTCCACTCAAAACAAGCTTTGAGTGTATTTGTATGCTGCTGCCTATGCAGAGGGTTCCAAATGAGTCACTTACAAATAGGGCTGCAAAAGGGCAGAACATTTTCGGTAAAATTCCAGAAGTTTCTCAAATTGAATTTCTTGAAAACTTCTCATTTTCCGAAAGTTTCCAAAATTACTGGCAAGTTTCCAGAAATTTACCTGAAATTTTCTACCTATAAAATTGTGTATTTTGACTAAGGATGTAATTTTTAGGCTAGACGGTGTTTTCTTTTCATCTTGCCTGTTTAATGCATATTAGTGTTCATAAACACAGAGCTGCAGTTTACAGCAGTAACCAAGGAAACGCTGTTCCATAAGCGCCACCTGCTGTCAGAGAGTGAATTTCCATCTCATTCAGCCTGTCTGCTGCTTTTCTTTCGTGCAGATGTTTTATTTAGTATAGTTTCACAAAGCTAAAGTCAGACCATTCTGTTTTTGCTTCAAATTTCAAAATTATACAATCTAATTTAGATTAAATTATAAGCTCCATGAATACAACATCTTTGTTTGGATTGTGATTAAAATGTAGTGGTTTCCTCTCATTTTAAAGGAGTCCTATTATGCTCTTTTACAATGTCTTGAATTTGTTTTGGGGGTGTACTAGAACATGCTCTCATGCTTGGTGGTGCAGCATACAGCGGTGTTGTGCATTTGACCAGTTGATGGGAAAAGTATTCTTAAAATGCAATCAAAATTCGGAATAATTTGTAATATATAATTATTCACGGTATTTAGAAGTGCCCACGATAACAATATCATATCGTGCATATTCATTACCGTGATATATCGCATTACCGAATACCGGCACAAGTCTAATTGCCACGCCCCTTGCCAAAGCACCAAGTTTAGTTAAGGATGGCGTCAATATTACCATATCAATTTGAGCCGGATTCAGACCCAGAGAATATTGAACAAGAGGATCGCGCAGAACCTTTGCACGCACAGATATTGCAAGACATATTAGAGTGGTAACGTTATTGTTTTTTTTTTGTTTTGTTTTTGGCTAAATCACGTTTTAGATAGGAGGTCAACAACCGCTTAAAAATAACTGCATTTACTATGTACAGATAAGTGCATATGTATTCTTTTTATTGTTGTTTAATTCTAACATTATAACATGAACTGCAGTGAAACTGTTATACAGTTGAATTTATTTATACCATAGTCCAGTGTTTTCCAGGAGGCATATATATGCAAACTCCTTCTCTGCCAGCAGTAGGCGCTGTAGGAGTGGTAGAGATCAAGGTTTCCCCGGTAACGGCTGTACACAAAGCAGCGCTCCGCTCAAAAAAACACTGCTTTATCAGACATTACATGCAAGATTAGAGGTCGACCAATTGATCGGCCAGCCGATTTTTGGCATTTTTTAATTAATCGGCATCGGCCAATTGTGTTGCAAATTAGGCCGATTTATAGGCAGGTGCATCTGCGGGCAGCTAAGCGCTGTTGCGGAACAACGGAGAATCTCTCTCTGGCTGCGTGAGAGACGGAGCAACTCACACTCTGCAGCCGCTTCTTGTCCACACACAGCTTCAGCTAATGATGGCAGGGCAAAACAGACGTTTCGAAAGCGTAATTACGTTTTATCCTACTAGAATTGATGCCGGAAAGTTATCATATTCATAAGGGCAACATTTGCATGTTAAAGTAGAAACACATGCAGTTCAGACGAACTTCTGGGCTGATTATAATGTGCATGTTAACTTTCCACGTGAAATGTGTCTGTGGGTCCGACAATAGCCCCCACGATGTTCATTTCGTCTTTCCTGTAATGCCTGATAAAGTAACGTTAGCGTGTGTGAGCGCAGTCACAGTGCTTATTAGATTACAGCAGTTACCGGGGAAACCGCTATATCTCCGCTCCAACAGCGTCTCCTGCTGGCGGAGAATGAATTTGCATTTGCAAGTCTGTGGGAAACACTGGTGTCTGTCAGCAAACATAAACAAAAAGCATGCTTCAGAACTGCTTTGAGAAGGTGCTTAGGTTTTGAGCCATGTATTATTACTCTGAATTAGGCTACTACTACTATTACTATCTTGTACCCTGCAATAATCATTTACTCAAACTCACTTTTAAGAGATGAAGAAAAAAATAAAAATTTTTAAAAATCAGCCAAACATATCGGCCAAAAAAATCGGCATCATATATCGGCCATCGGCTGCCCTGATTTATAAATATAGGCATCAGCCAGTGAAAACCCCATATCGGTCGACCTCTATGCAAGATTAAATGAAAATGACAATTTTCTGAAGACAGTCGGTTTCCTTCAGAAATACAGTGATATAAAAACACCCGCACTCAATGTATGGGAAACACTGTAGTCTCATAATTGAAGTGTAAATTCTGCAGATTACATCGTCCAGTATTGTACTGTCAGCAAGTTATTATAAAAACGTTTTCATAATTGTAACATATATATTTACATACATAATACAACATACATACTTAATTCAGGTGCATATGTAATAACTTGCGAAAACTTGAGGCTACAGCAGCACATCTTCTTCGTCGTCGTCTTGTCTGATGCACCACGACCTCGCCCCTCCCCACCCCCCAACCATTCGAATCTCCGTAGGCGGGAATTATTTTAATGATATTCTAATGGGCCGCTTTGTGATATCACAAAACCCTGAAAACAAACGCTGTAGTCCAAACGAGCCGTTCGTTGTAGTTCTTGAAAAGGGATTTTTTA